TTATATAACATTTGTTTTTATAAGACATTTTTTTCAATCAGTATCTTATAAAACAATTATTACTACATATTATTTTTTTAAACAAAACTTGTTACAATGTTCAAAAGCGTCTTATAAATATATTATATCACTATATATTAGATAAGAACGTTTTTATTTTTTTGATCATATAAAACACTCCATTAAGACATTGAACACTTTAACCATCATATAAACTCCATTGTAATGCTAGAAACATGAATTAACCTTTGAATATCATCCAAAACATAAAAAACCAAATTACATGCACTATTTAAGTATCAATCAGAGTAACAAAAATACAATCACATGGTACTCAATGGAGACCATGCATGGATATATGCTTGTAAGCTTTTTATGATTCGTGAAAAAGGTTTTACCACCCCCTATAATTGTAGCCTTTGTTTGGTTATGTTCTGGTAACCTAGTTGATAAGCTAACTAATGAGTTAGTTGTTAGTTTGTAAGCTAGTTGGTAGTTGATAAACTATCTGATAAATAAACCATGTTTAACAAAACATGAAAGCAACTTGATAAGAATGAAAAATGACCAAAAAAAGACATTTTAAAAATTATTCAACTATAATATCTCAAAATATAATTGAAATTAATCTCTAATAATATAATATATTAACTAATACAAACAAGGTGGTAAAAGATTAAAACCAATTTTAGAAAAATCTATTACTTATAATTATAAATAATCATTACATATAATATGAATAAAAATAAAAATAGTCTACTTCACATATCCTAATTAATCAATATTTTTCAAAAAATATATTTAATAATTAAATTAAATATTTTATTCAAATTATTTAACATATTTTTATTATCTATGAAACAGAATAAGTATAAGGTGGCGTTTGTTTTTTAAGAGGTTCTGAAGTCTGATTTCACTTCTGAATTTTAAGAGGTAGTACTGAAGTCTGAAATCTGAATCAGTCAGACTGTTTGTTTTTACGTCTGAAATCTGAAATCTGAATCAGTCAAGTTTCGGATCTGATAGATTTGGATCGATCTGGGTCATGATTTTACAAGAATATGTGGATCGATCTGGGTCATGATTGATTTGGAGATCGAATGTCTTGCGAGATAGATTTGGAGGACTAAATCTGGAGGTGAGGATGGATCAGGGGAGAGTCTGGAGGGAGCGATTAAGAGGATTTAAGTGATTATGTTATCACTTTTTTTCAGAGCAAATTAAGAGCTTTTCAGCTCTTATTTATATAAAAAAATAAACTGTCTGAAAATAAAAACGTCTGACCGGTTCAGACTTAAGAGGCATTAAGTGGTTTTTTTCAAAAAACAAACAAGCCTTAAGTTTAATTTTATATTACGTGTATATTGTTAAAATTGTTATATTTGCATGTGTTTTGATAACTTAATATATTGAATGATAATTAAAAAAAATGATGATATGAAAATAATTGATATTACTAGTAATTATAAAAAATAATTAGTTGATGATATTAATATTTGTTATTAATAATGTTTAAGTTTTATTAGTATTTATTTATGATTAATAGTGATAAATAATAAATTATTAATATTAATGAGGTTTATAATTGAAAAAAAATGACAATAATATATCAAAAAATGCTACTCCAAATAGTGTCTCAATAAGCTAGCTTATGTGCATTCAAACATGTACCCAAAAATAAGCTAGCTTATATTTGTCAAACAATGTCTTTGTCTAAAAATATAGTGTCTGAATCAGTTTGTGGTACTTTAACTCATGGGCGGACCTAAGAGGGTGGCATGGGTGGCACGTGCCACCGTATTGTTTCGCGGCCGAAGGGTAAAAAATTTAGGTTTGTTAACGGTGCTATGTATCGTTTTAGAAGGTGCTACCGTATTTCCTTGAAATCCAAATGGTGCAACTAAAACCTAAACAAAACAAAGTCTAAAAAACCAAAACCATACTTTTTGTAATTATTTTTGGGTATATATTGACCGTTTTCAAAAGATGAAGACGCGTCGGGTACAAGTTTAGGAGTTGTTTATCGGTACTTAGGGCTGTAAACGAACTGAACGAACACGAACGGAGACTTGTTCATGTTCGTTCGTTTAACTTAACTGAACAAACGAACGAACATGAACGGTAAACGAACAAAAATCTTTGTGTTCGTGTTCATTCGTTTGGAAATAAGGTGTATTCGTGTTCGTTTATGTTCATTCGTAAACATGCTAAACGAACGAACATAAACGAACGAGCTAAACGAACATAAAAAAATATTATTTGAATTCAAAGTAAATAAATAAAAGATAATATATTAAACTTAATATATAAACGAACATAAACAAACGAATATAAACGAACGGTAAATGAACGAACGTTCACGAACATAAATGAACAAACGAGACTCTTATTCATGTTCGTTCATTTAACTAAACGAACAAAAGAAAATAGTTCATGTTCGTTCATTTATTAAATAAACGAACATAAA